GGTTCGTTTGCACTTGAAGCTCCGAAAGAGACTGGCTCCAACGTGGTTTCGCTTAACATCTCGGTGGGCTCCGCAGGATGAGACTCCTCAGTAACTGGTGCCGGTGTAGACTCGATGCATGATCCCACCATGGCCTGAAAACAAACAATCCACCAGAATCCTGAACTGAAAATCATCAAAAAATCCAACACAAAAATTTCGGAAATCAATCCGACAAAAAACGCATGCAGAAAATTGACCTGGGACAGACATTTCTCGGATTGCGCATCAAACATCAGTTGTCCAGGGCAGCGGTAGAGCAGTGGCGTGCCAGAAATGCAGAGTGTGAATCCAGCTGAACAACTCTGTGAAGTGTATATGCCGTCGGCCAGCTTCACGCACATAAACGCTGCAAAAAAAAATACTCGAACACTCCGGAGATCCAGGTTTAAGCGCGAATTCTGGTCCATAATCTAAACGCTCTTGTACACTGATGGCAAAAAAACGTCGCTCAGGGAGCACCCACATCCTTGACGACGCGCTGCTGATGGCGCCTTCTCATCGACCATGCTTTCATCAAGTGTAGCCGGTGCTGCGCCTCCTTCAAAAAACTCTGGCTTTGGTCCCCCTAGGATGCTTTCTTTTCCAAATGACGGACCCTCTGGCACTGGACCTCCACACACTGGCACTGCATTCTAAAAACACGAGTGCTGAAGTATGTTATTGGAAGGAAAGGACGAAAAATAAGGAATTTGAATAAAATTTGGGAGTGGGCTGAAAACTTGGGGGACCGGGCAAAAATCCTGGCGAAAGGGAAGCCAAACCTCCGGTGCGCACTTTTGCGAAACAGCATCGTATTTGAGATTATTGGGACACTCATAGAACGTTTCTTTGCCAGCAATGCACATGTAGAAGACGGATGTACAGCCATCCGCAAACGATCCATCCGGCTTTCCAAAGCAAGTTGCCACTACAACGAATCACTATTACCCGAACAAGGTAAACAGATCGGCGTTAAACTTCCATGCAATCTTACGTGTGAAAAGCGGCCTGTTGATAATGCGGGGTTCCTGAGCAGAAGCATTTGCTCCTACAGGCTCTGCTGAAGTGCTGGGCAACAGTTCTGCATTATCATTGCCTCTGCAAGCAGCCACATAGCCCTGTAATTATGAAATTTTGTTGGGTCCTTAAATTCTCAGGGTGCTGAAAGTACGAGCAAACGCCTACCGCTACACGGCACTTTTGTGTGGCGCCATCAAATATCAGGGAACCTGGACATCGAAGCAACTTCTGCTCACCGTTATTGCATTCAAAGAATTCCGAAGAACACCCCTGGGCGTACTTACCGTCTGGCTTACCACTGCATGAAAAGCCTAAAAATATGAATAACCAAATCTCGATGATAAAATGATTTTTAGCGAAGTTTTTGCCTTGAGGTTCTGAGGAAATCCTAAGGAAAAATGACATCCTGTAGAGGTGCAGGCGCTCTAAAATAGTGTAAGGTCGGCATATGTCAAAAGCAGTTACTTCACGTTACTCAAATCTTTACTGGACAATCTGCTAAAGCCAAGAGCTTGATTTGCCAGTAGGATGATGTGCTCATTGCGAGGGAGTCAAATTCACCACCAGCTTGCTTCTAAGCAATCCTTGAAAAAGGAAGCTGTTGACAGCTCTGTCTGTGGCTGATTCCTTCTAGCAAACTAGCAAACAACTACTCGGCGTATTGTCCACCTCTCACATAATGCGAATTATGCAGAGATCTCATTTATGCGTTTGAAAAAATAACCAGATTCCTCCGCTGGTGCTCCAAATGCCACCGTCTGATTGGGTCGCAGTTCTGGTGGTGTAACTTCATTGGGTTCAATCTTCTCTCCACCGCATTCTTTCACAAAGCTCTAAAGTGTTGAAATAAGCTCCCTAACCTTAGCTCAGTTCTCAGCTTCATTCCATAGAACAAAACAATACGTGGCCTGTTATTAGCTGCAGCTGTCAAGCTTTCGCCTTCCGTGAAATTTTTGCTGTGCACATCTCATCATCAATTTTCCGAATTGCAGATGAATTAGAGATGAAGACAGGCGTAATGTCACGAGAACTATCAGATTTTCCAATTTTCCGGATTCTCTGACTTCCAGACATGGAAAACGAAGCAAGCAATGAATTTTCAAATGCAACTGGTTACCGCAGGAAGACAATTCTGCGAGGCAGAGTCGAATTTCAATAGACTGCTTGGACATCTGTTCAACTTCGTTCGTCCAGCAATGCATACGACAAATTCGGATGAACACCCCCGAGAATATCTGCCATTTGGTAGGCCAACGCAGGTAGTGACTGAAAAAGTGACCATTATCAGGAAGCTACAAAGCTGCGGTGGCTTCGTATAAAAAAAAAAACAACGTACCAAATGGAACGAGCGGAAACAGGTCGACGACTGGCACTGATTGTGTCAAATTGGGTTGGATCGCTTGTTTCACCGAACCCACAGGACTCAAGTGACGTGATCCCTCTCCAATAGCAGTGACTTCAAACGAGGATATTCCACCACCCAGCGATTGCAGAGACTCGTTAGTTGCTCCGCATGCTTCAATGTATCTCTGTAATTGTAACGTCATTATCATGCACGCACACACGCAATCGTGGCCTATCAATATTCGTAGTATTTACATAAATACACACATACTCAGCGTAATCAATAAATAAATGTGATATAATCGTTGCGATGCACTATATGCAGTATGTAATGCAGCAGAAATATGTGCAGTGTGCAGTACGAAAATGTACACATATCGGATTTGCAAAACGAGAGCACAGTATTTTTTTTTGTCGGAAAACTTTTTACCGCATTTCCCTAATCACCAGATTATGAACACT